TAAAAGAAAAATCCTAAAAATATTTATTTCTAAAGGTGAAGTTACCAGAATTGGCCAGTAGAGGGAGCCAAAGACCATATAGCATTTGCCATTATACTAGTATCTGCTATAATCCATATTTTTCAGCATCCTCAGGGGTGGGGTGGGGCTTGGAACCAATCCCACCACCCAGACACCTGGTCCTTCTATATTTTGCTGTTCTTGTTTGTACTGAGTGGAAAAACCAGCACAGGGAATATACAAGTCCTGACCATAGAGAATGATTGTGTGATGGAGTTATATTTTTCTTTTTCTGGGCAGGACTCGTCCCATTCTGCATGTGGAGGTGTCCATTGAGTTCCACCCTCCTCTGATCCCCACATCAGTCTTCAAGTGTCAGGGTCAAGAAGAATATTCGGAAGAGGTGACCCATGTGGCAAAAGTGTGCTTTAGTGTTTCCAAAGCTACCTGGGATAAACTAGGTGAGATCACCACTATTGTTCAGACACTTATTGTGGAGCACGTGCAAGCTACAAGCGAATAAACTGCTGGGGTTTTTGCAACCTTGTATGCTGCCTCTAATGGCTGGGAGGGACCTTTCTGGATTGGAGGGACTGTCAATCTATCTGGCACTAACCAATAGTTACCTCCTGCTGCCTCTCTCTCTTAAGTCTTTTGAAGTCCATTGCTGAAAGCAGGCAGTCATGTTTTCAGTTTGCTGTTTGATCTGTTCAACTGTAAGCAGTTCTTATTCTGACTCCTACGAATGTCTCTGAGTGAGTCATTGCGACGATAGGTGAAGATTATTGAGAAAAGTTTTGATCTATTCTGGGAAACTTGGAGTTATTCTCCTCTGTGAATCCCTGCCCTTCTGAAGCTAAAGAAATTTACCAGAAATTCAAAACTCTGCAACACGAATTCTCAGATTAGAAAAACCAAACTCCCTGCAGAAGCAGCAGCTTTGTGTGCCCTCACACAGGTCTAGACGGTTACCAGATGTGTGTGGCAATGTTAGAGGAAGTCGTTGTGTAAGGGCATATGTTCCTGTCTCCAGTTTTAGCCTTACAGGAAAAAAAAAACGGGCAAATTGCTGAATGGGACTCCGTTCCTGCTGATCAAGTCTGGGGGAAGGGGAAGATGGTAGTTCTACTAGCTTGTCCTTAGAGAGGTTGTGCAAAGTGCTGATTGGCTGGCTCTTGTGTCTGTTACAAGGTCCTCCCCTCCCCTTTTCAGAGTTGTTTCCACATGTTGGCAAGGGCAATGTTTTTAAAGCACTGAATCAACACAGAAGAGAGTAGACTTTTAGAGATGCTTTAAAGACAAACATAAGACTAGGTTACGAAACACAAACACACAAGAAAGCAAACTGCCTTCTGGATGGGGGAAAAGGGCAGGAAGGGGGAAAAATTCTGTGTGTCCCTTGAGGAGTCAAACCCTCAGGAAAAGCAAACCATGCTCACTGGTGTTTCTTGGCACAGCTTTTAAAGCAGTGGTCCTCAACGTTGGGCCTCCAGATCTTCCTGGACTACAACTCCCAGAAGTCTTCACCACCACCTCTGCTGGCCAGGATTTCTGGGAGTTGAAGTCCAAGAACATCTGGAGGCCCAAGGTTGGGGACCACTGTTTTAAAGGACTGTTCCCCATGCACCACTAAGAGACCGCTCCCTGTCTCTTTTTCTTTCCATTCCTGATCCAGGTACGATTTTTAGTGACCTTCAGTACAGTCTGGTGCTGGACCCCGAGAGAATCCATTCTCGAGCTTTGTTCAGTTCTGGTGTTCCTGCTTTGAGCAAAAGTCTCCAGATTGGGCTTGAGCAGCAATGCCAGGGTCACCCCATCAAACTGCCTGTAAGTAAGCATCAAAGTCCTGCAGGGCCACCAACTCCCCCCCTCCCTTATATATTGTATATCTCTCTCAGATGTATACCATATATAAGGGTTTGTGGTGGAAAAATCCGATGCCCCTGCTTTGTGTCCCTCTGAGGATGCATACAAGTGGGTGGCACCCAACATATAGGGTAAAAAGATAGGGTGAAACTATTCCTTGTTTCCTTTTTCATTAGAGGTGGGCATGAACCAAACCACGAACCAGCAAAACCAATGAATAAGGCTGCTTCGTGGTTTGTTTCATGAACCAATTTGGGGATCCTGCTTTGCTGAAACAAAACAAAGTGCCAAACTCCCCCGCCCTCATTTTACTTCACAAAAGGGAGTGTCCACCTGCCCCTTTCGCACAGCCCCACTACCTGATACTTCCCCCTCTTCCTCCTCTTCTGATGCCATCCTCAAAGGCAGTAGGCCCAGTACTTCTGCTGCTGCTTCTGAATTTTTGTGTGTGTGTGTGTGTGTAAAACTTTCCCAGTCTCTCTGCCGAGAAGCAGAGGAAGTGTTCAGTTTGCTGGTATCCTGAAGTGGCTTGCTTATTAAGCCACTTCAGGATATTGGAAATTCAGAATGGAAGGAGCCAAACCAAATAGGGTTGCTTGTGCGCCGAAATGCCATTTGGACAGGAAGATTGCACCACATGGGCTATTGCACTTCCACCTGACCCCAAGCAACCCTAGTTAGTTCATATCACCCCGCTCCAAAATAAGCAATGCATAGTTATAATTCTGTTTCTCAAAACCTCTCAAAGCAGGGAAGTCAAGGGAAATGTGGAACTATTTGCTGTATTCCCATGTGTACCAAAAGTAATACGTATTAGCTATATCTTTTAGGATCCAAAGCAATATGTAAAATAAACCTTTCCTGATTTTATGATGCAGATGATAAAGCAGCTGACTACCTGTGCAGAACCAGCAGCCCTGTGTACATTCATTAAACATCTAAATCGTCTCTCTTCTGGTGCCTCATTTCTCAGATCTGCATTGAAGATACCCTGACCCCAATCATCCTGCAACTGAATTACAGCCTTGTGGGAAAGCCCATCGCTAAAGCCAAGAATCTCAGGCCCATCCTGAGTGAAGAGTCCCAGAAAATCTACATAGCAAAGGTGAATGTGTCTCACCATTCACAATATAACAATATTCCTATTTGGGATGGGGTACTTTTCTGTGGCTTTCAGTTCTCCCTCTGGTACAGTGGTGTCTTGAGTTACAAACTTAATTGGTTCCAGAAGATGGTCGTAACTCAAGTTGGTCGTAACTCAACGCGCCATTTCCCATAGGAATACATTGAAACTCCATTAATCCATTCCAGCTGGAAACCCACCCACCCCAAAAAAACACTGCAAGACCCATCTGAAACAGAATTAATCCATTCTGGCCGGGGAAAAACACACAGCAAAAAAACCACAAACATTGCAAGACCCATCGGAAACGCGATTAATCCGTTCTGGCCAAAAACACACACCCACCGAAAAACAAACACTGCAAGACCCATCAGAGCACAGAAACATAACCCCCCCAGCCCAAACCCACGCTGCAAAACGCTGTACTAACTCAGAACAGGCATTTTAAAAAGCAGAAAGCAGTACCAGGGAGTCCGACGCTTTAGAAACATAACCCCCCACAGCCCAAACCCATGCTGCAAAATGCTGTACTAACTCAGAACAGGCATTTTAAAAAGCAGAAAGCAGTACCAGGCAGTCCGAAGCCTTCTCCAAATGCACACTCTCTAACTGCTGGGGTGAAAGAGCTAGAGAGGAGCAGCCTCTTCGCCGACCAACGGTTACCAGTTTAAATTCCCCGCCTTCTTTTCTGTTTGCATCTCAAAGCTCCTGTCGCAAGTCAAAGCAAAATTTTGCAGCCGGAGCTGGTCGTAACTCGAATTGGTCGCAAGTCAATATGTTTGTAAGTCGAGGCAGCACTGTATGTGCTCCTGGGTGCCACTGACAACCTCCGAGCTTTGTGGAAATCAGGTTGTTCCCCATGGATAAACGGAGAGGTATAAAGGAAGTGGTTATGATGAGGTGGGAGAAAAAGCAAGCATTGAGAAAAAGAGAGGGTTATGTGGGTCCCAATGCAACCTATAGATCATCTATAGAGGAACAGGGCAGTGTCCTAGAGGTGGTGCATACTTGGTACTTGATACATAGCAGCCTCTGTCTAAGAAAGCTGAATTTTTAATCTTAATGAATTAAAACGCTGTACTGCAACTAAAACTGTGCTCACGACCTGGGGTTCAAATCCCAGGTAGCCGGCTCAAGGTTGACTCAGCCTTCCATCCTTCCGAGCTCGGTAAAATGAGTACCCAGCTTGCTGGGGGGGCAATGTGTAGCCTGTATAATTAAAAAATTGTAAACCGCCCGGAGAGTGCTTGTAGCGCTATGGGGCAGTATATAAGTCCAATAAATAAATAAATAAATAAATTGTATTCCATTTTTTTGGCAGCTCCCATTTGAGAAAAACTGTGGCAGTGATGGGAAATGTGAAGATATTTTACGAACTTCGTTTAATCTCTCAGGGTAAGATAAATGTTTCCCTTTCCCCTTTTCATCTTGCCTTTCCACTGTCAACAGTACACGTGGCTTGACGGTAAATTCTCAACTCTTGACTTTGGACAAGGCACTGTGAGGGGATACATTTGTGTACTTCCAGATTATAGAGAACGACCGTATCTCCCATTCTGGGTCGCTTTTTTTTTCATTCACTGGAATCTATGTCTAAGCAATAGTGCTTCATATAACCTGATTTTGTTTGGGCGTATCTCCCTGATCAGTGGGTAGAAGCAGTGCCAATTTTGGTTGGGATCCCAAACTTTATTCCATCTCAGAGTCAAACGAAGCTTTCAGAAAACACATTTTCTGTGGCAATGCTCTGTTTACTTTTGCTCCTACAACCTATTTTCCTCAGAAATACAGACTCCCGTGTGCAAGCCAAGCTTCTGTTTATTTTCTGCTGGCCATTAACAGAATAAAGCAAGCTAAAATCCAAAATCGGGAGACAAAGTAACGGGTGTACTATAACAATTGTCAACATCCTTTGGGAAAGTATAGGCTGTAAATAATAGCTGAGAAGTTTTAAATGCAGTAGAAGACTATTTCAAGTATTCAGCTCTGGTGTGTGGCACTACAAAACATGTTAGGTATTTTGAATGCAAACATTAATACCTGTATATACTTTGCATAAGTATCTCTCTCTCTCTCTCTCTCTCTCTCTCTTTCTCTCTCTCTTTTAACTTGTTTTTCTTTCACTCTTGTTCAGATAGAAAGGGATATATTTGTGTGAGGATTTCCAGCTGTGAGGGAGGGCCTGGATATCTTGGATTGTAGAAAGGCACATGGGTCTGAAACCTCTCATCAACCTCACCCCATCCCCATTATTGTTCTCTCTCAGCTTGGACACCTTAGTTGTAGGCTTGACTTCTGAGGTCAACATAATAGCTTCCATCCAAAACCACGGGGAGGACTCCTATGGTACCATTCTGCGCTTCTTCTACCCTGGAGGGTTGTCCTACCGCAAGGTCACCTTGCTACAGGTAGGCGGAGAGAAGGGGGTTCAGAGAGCAGAAGAAACAGGGGGAAGTGTGTCAGCAGGAGATCGGATTCCCTGGCCTTTGGGGTCCTTTCCAGCTCCACAGTTCTGTGAATCGAGGAGTGGGAGTCATGGGGGGGGTGACATGCCGTTTTGTCTCACACTGCTTTAAACTTTGCGTCCACCCCATTTCTCAGCCCAGCAGGAAGGCAGTGAACATTAAATGCCACTCGTCTCCTGTCACTGAAGAAGACGCCGACAGGAACGCCACTTGCAATATCAACCACCCGATATTTTGGAGTGGGGCAGAGGTAGGGATATCCTTATAACATTACAATTTATTGCCACTTAATGGTTATACTTGAAGAGTTACGATGAGGAGGAATCTCCTCAGCCCTGAGATGTGATAGTGACTATTAAGGACTAATCTGTACATTTCGAGAAATTGGATGGTAGACCCATCCTGGAACTGAACAGCTCCAGAGCATTGTATAACTAAATTCTTCCCCCAAGTTTAGACTCGCCGGCTCTATAAAATGAATATATCAGTGGGAACAACTATGGCTTAATCTTGCTACTGTTGACATATAGCCTTATATAATCCGAGAAGGCATGTATCATTTGCGTTCATAGGTATGAATTGTGAAATGGCATTATGACAAAATGCTGTATTTCCCCCTCCAGGCCTTAATCTAGGACAAGCTGACAAGGATCCATTGTATATATATTCCTCAGCAAGAAGGTGCCATGACTCAGTCCTACTTTTAATTATTCTGTGCCCTGGACACATAATAAACCAGCTTTATATACATACAGGAAACAATAGACTGTTTGAATTGCTTGCCAACCAGGTTAGCATGACCAGGACATGAGAGAAGCCAACCCTCAGACATTTATTAGAAAACTTAGCAGACAGACCTTCAGAAATAGACAGGGTTTTTTCCCCCAAACCAGGTGGCTGCTAGAACATCAGCTAATTAAACTTACTGGGATCTTAAGAATAATTCACTGAAGCAGCTTTCAGAGGGAGAACATCTCTGGACCTTGCTGTTCTTTTTGACAGCTGTGGTCTTGTCCCTCTTTGTTTTTATATCATCGGCGTCAAGTATTGATAAAAAGAAAGAGTCCGCACTCTAGGCATCAGGCTGTTTTTGTCGTTGTTGCCACCTGAAAACTGCTAGTCAAATTAAAATATAGTAGTGCCTCGCAAGACAGGACAAAAAACTCGCAAGACGAATGGTTTTGGCAATGGGGTGATGACTCGCAAGACGAATGTTCCTATGGCCGTGCTTCGCAAGATGAATGTTTTCCATTTTTTGTTCCTACCTCATGTATGCTGATTTTTAAATGTTTTTCTATGATGTTTAAAAAGTTAAAGTTTCTTGATTGAAATTTTTTAAAATCATCTGCACAATATGTATGGCTTTAAAGAGCACTTAATGAACCCTTTGTAAACCAAATTTGACTTTGTTCTGACTTCCCCCCCCCCATAGGAATGCATGAATTAGATTTCAGTGCATTCCTATGGGAAAACGCGTTTCGCAAGGCGAATTTCTCGCAAGACAGCATTAACCGTGGAACGAATTAAATTCGTCTTGCGAGGCACCACTGTACTGCCATTTTGAACATGTAGTGAAAGCTACAGAATGGTGCCTGGCTCAGGGATGGGACCTCAGGATTGCAGACAGAGAGTGGCAGGTTCAACGTGTGTGGTCTCTTGACTCATATCAAAGGGGGGAGGCATTTGTGGTCCTCCAGCTGTTGCTGGACAGCAGGGTCTGTGATCCTTCAGTGGGGATGGGGACTTGAGTTATGGGACTTACGGTCAAGTTGCACGAGCAACTCGCCTTTTTTTTAATGACTCAAACTGGACTCGCAGCTTAGAATCCACCACTTCTCCTTTTTTCCTGGGGGGGGGGAACTAACCTTTAATAGGGATCCAGGCTTGGCGATTGGGACTTGGTACCAACGACTTGGACTTGGGACTTAAACCCGAAGACTTGCCAGTATCCCTGTCTTTCACCATGGCTTGTACTACCTGAGGCAGAAGCATAGCAATCCACACATCTGGACTGCCCTGAGTATGAGGTGGAAATAATCTCCACCTGATAGCCAGAGATCTTACTGCCAATCAAAGTAGACAATATTGCTCTAGATCAGTGGTGTCCAACCTTGGCCGTCCAGATGTTCTTAGACTACAGTTCCCAGAAGCCTTCACCAACACCTCTGCTGGCCAGGATTTCTGGGAGTTGAAGTCCAAGAACATCTGGACGGCCAAGGTTGGGGACCACTGCTCTAGATGGTCTGACTGCATATCACTCTGTGCTTCCCCCCTGCCTCTTTTTAATGCTAAGGCCTTTTAGGGCTGGGGTGGTGCAATAGACCCTATATTTTATTCACACTCCTCTTTGCACAAAGAACTTTGCTTAAATAAATCACTCATATTATTCTTCATCTGGTGTTTCAGGCTGTCTTTGCTGCCACCTTTGATATCTCCCCAGATGCTGATCTAGGAGGGACCCTGCGGATCATCGCCAGAGCCAGCAGGTGACTTTCCCACAGCTGGGTTCTGTCCTGTCCGGAAATTTATCCGGGGATGGACTTCAGCGGTAGGTGGAGCCAGAAGCAAATGAATGGGCCCCACAATACGGGTGTATTTTAGCTTCAGGCTCTTAACTATCAGTTACTAAGCCTTAGGAAAAGCATTTTAGTTCTTTTGAAATGGGGACAGCTTGTACAGAAACTGGGAAACTGCCAAATAATAGTATTAAAGAGAAGAGGGAGGTGGCCAAACTAAGGAACCCCAGAAGATTTCGTGGTGGGTAGGAAATTTCCACCCTTGCAATAAAGGTAAACCATTTCCTCATTTGAGCCTCAGGTTCTTAACTAATTTTCTTCTTTCTTGTCCAGTGAAAATGGAGGGAACATCACCAAGGATATGGTTCATGAAGTGGATCTGCCTGTCAAATACGCCGTGTACATCATTGTCACCACGTGAGCTGCTGTTGGCATTTTAGGGAGAAAGTAGAGCCTGCAAAGTGCCCCACTCCCAGCAGTGCCCCCCCTCTTGTCAATAGCTCTGAAATGTCCCTTTCCAATGACATTCTGGACATAACTTGCTTTCTTATTCATCTTCATTTCTCCTTCCCTCCTCCTAGCCTTGAGGAATCAACCAAGTATGTCAACTTCACAGCTGGCCAGCAAGAAGCGAGCAAGAGCATTGAACATCGATATGAGGTAAAAAAAGAAAAATGAATGGTAAAATGCAGTTGCGGGGTTGATGGGAAGAGAATACAGAGACAGCTGGGAACGATGAGTGGCATTGAAAACCTGAACTAAAATTCCTTCTAAACTGAAGGGAAGTCAGACCATCTGGAATTCTAATCTTTGCTAACCTTGGGTTTTTCAGTTATTGTTTAAAATGAGAGATGTACAAAAACTGGTTATTGTGGATTCATATTTTGTCAAATAAATATCAAAATCCTAATAGATGTATATTAATTTTGAATGCTTGTATTGCCAGAAGAAGATTGGTGGAAGAAATATCAACAACTTCAGATTTGCAGACGATACCACTCTGATGGCAGAAAGTGAGGAGAAATTAAAGAACCTCTTAATGAGGGTGAAAGAGGAGAGTGCAAAAAGTGGTCTGAAGCTCAACATAAAAAAAACTAAGATCATGGCCACTGGTCCCATCACCTCCTGGCAAATAGAAAGGGAAGCTATAGAGGCAGTGACAGATTTTACTTTCTTGGGCTCCATGATCACTGCAGATGGTGACAGCAGCCCCAAAATTAAAAGACGCCTGCTTCTTGGGAGGAAAGCGATGACAAACCTAGACAGCATCTTAAAAAGCAGAGACATTAAATGAAACAATAAATTAATAAACATAGCCTACATGTCTATAGCAAATAAGCATTTGTGTTTGTTTTGAAAGAATCTGCTTCTCTTTCAGATAAAAAACCTCCGTGAACGAAGCATCCCTGTCTCAGTAATGTTTCAGATCCCTGTAAAATTGAAAGGCATCCAGGTCTGGAATGTGTCTCAAGTCATCTCCTCTGAGGTATAATTGTCAGCTTATTCTCTTCTACCAGAGAATTTGGCTAATATCCTTTATAGTTACCAGAGGATCCGGTACAAACAACATCTGCACAGAGAAGGCATGAAATAATAGCTTAATTCTCAGTTGACCACTCCTTTTAAGTGGGGGAAAAGGTATCTTTACTTACAGTTGCTATCTCTAGTTACAGTCAGTAGAAAAATTGGAAAAATGGAGTCTCCACACATGGGAAAGATCCC